CTAATCCTTCATTTTCCCAAAATGGTCATAGATGAAGGGATCAATTAATAAATGTATGGTGACATCACTACTGGCTTCAATTCTAACTTAAAAACTGTAAATAAGCAAAATTGTAAGGGAAATAAAATGCTTCTCAGATATGTGTGATCTTTTGGGGACTAATTTGGTTAAGACCTATTTTAATTTCTGTGGTTGTAGTAACAGATTACTACAAATTTGATGATTTCAAACAACACATATTTATTTTATTATAGTTCTGGAGGCCAGAAATGTAGAATGAGTTTCTCTTGGCTGAAGTTTTGGCAGGGCTTTGCTCCCTGGAGGCTCCCATTACACATCCCACATTCTGTTACCGGATTAAAGACCCAGATGCACATGTCTGTCTTCTCCTATCATTTCTACTGAAAATCCTGCAACTTTTTTTTTTTTTGTAGTGTGGATTAAACACAGGGGTGCTTTACCACTGAACCACATCCCTAAACCTTTCTTATTTTTTTAAATTTTGAGACAGGTCTCACTAAGTTGCTGAGGCTGGTCTTGAACTTATGATCCTTCTGCCTCAGCCTCCTGAGTCACCAGGATTACAGGCATGCACCACCCTGCCCAGGTCTGTGTAACTTTTTAAAATAATGGTTTTAAATAAATGTTGGTGAGGATGTGGGGGGAAAGGTGCACTCATATATCGCTGGTGGAACTGCAAATTGATGCAACCACTTTGGAAAGCAGTATGGAGATTCCTCAGAAAACTTGGAATGAAACCACCATCTGTCCCAGCTATCCCACTCCTTGGTTCATACCCAAAGGTCTTAAAATCAGCATACTACAGTGACACAGCCAGATCAATGTATATAGCTGCTCAACTCACAATACCAAACTATGGAACCAATCTAGGTGCCCTTCAACAGATGAATAGATAAAGAAAATGTGGTATATATACACAATGGAATATTACTCAGCCTAAAGAAGAATGAAATGATGGCACTTGCTGGTAAATGGACAGAGCTGAAGAATATCATACTAAGTGAAATAAGCCAATCCCCCCAAACTAAAGACTGAATATTTTCTCTGATATGTGGATGCTAATTCACAATAAGTGTGGGGCTGGGGAAAAATAGAGGTACTTTGGATTAGGCAGAGGGGAGTGAAGGGAGGGGAGGGGGTATGGGGATAGGAAAGATAGTAGAATGAATTGGACATTAATACCCTACGTGTATATATGATTACACGACCAATGTGATCCTACATCATGTACAACCAGAAGAATGAGAAGTTACAATCCATTTACGTATGATGTGTCAAAGTGCATTCTACTGTCATGTATAACTAATTAGAACAAATTAAAAAAATAAAATAATGATTTTATTGAGTTCACATTCAATATAATTTACCTACTTAAAATATACAATTTATTGGTGTTTAGTATACTCAAAAGAGTTGTGCAACCATCACTACATTCCATTTTTAAACATTTTTGTTACCCCCCCAAAGAAATCCTATATCCATGGACACTCACCATCTTCTCCCAATGTTACTAGACCACTGATCTATTTTTATCTCTATAAATTTGCTCAGTCCAGACATTTCATATAAAAATAATTATTTGACAGTGGTCTTCTTCATTTAGTATTTTGCTTTTGAGTTTCATCCATGTTGTAGCATCAATCAGTGATTCATTCCTTTTTGTTGCCAAATACGTAACATTTTATGTATCTCTTTATCAGTTAATAGACATTTGAGTTGTTCCCACTTTTTTTAAAAAAATATATTTTTTCATTTGTAGATGGACACAATACCTTTATTTTATTTATTTACTTTTACGTGGTGCCAAGGATCAAACCCAGTGCCTCACACATGCAAATGCTCTACCATTGAGCCACAACCTCAGACCCAAATTTGCCGCAGCCGGCTGGGGGTGGGGGGGTGGGTGGGGGGGTGGTGGGGGTGACGAACAACTTGTGTACGTTGATACAGCAGGAGTGGGAGCCATTTATTGTAGGACAACAGAGGTATTTATACATTCCACACAGCTTATCTTAATTAGCATAAACCAGATACATCAGTCAACCAATAAGAAATCTCCATACTTAATGGCTCGCTGGTGTTACTTCACAAACCACTCCCTCTGGCAATATGCCAGGCGCCATCCAGACTTGTTTACAGACTCTAACATAAATTGTTCCCACTTTTTGGCTATTATGAATAATACTACCACAAACATATGCATGGAAGATTTATGTAGACATGTTTTATTTTTTGATGTATATCTAGGAATAGAATTCTGGGTTATAATAGTAACTCCTGCTTCACAACTTTGCATATCAAAGTTACGCCCATCTTTCAGAACCAAATTGTGTTACTTCCCTGGTGTCCTACCATATCCCACTTGCAGTCATCTTCCCCCAGCATTCCCTTTGTTTAGCACCTCATTGTGCTTACCATTTGCTTCCAAGGTTAGTAATTCTTGCGTGTTTCCCTTGTTATACTGTAAATTTTTGGAAAGCAAAAGGCAGGTTCTCCCATTGTTGTATACTGTAAATTTTTGGAAAGCAAAAGGCATTGGGTACTTTGCCTTGCAGAAAGCAGGAATTCTGTTAGTGATTGGTGTGGAATAAAAGAGTTTCATAAGCTTGATCCTACAAAATGTGCCTAATATTTAATAAGAATGTTCCTCGTCATATTCCAACACTTAAATGCTTGGTAAATAACACTTGAAGTAAACAGGTGTAAGGTGAATCAGTTTGATCATTTAAAGTATTTGTTTTGAATGTCAGAAGCTGCATATTTTGGATTTATAATTAAGGAAGATGCTAAAAAACTCTAGAGAGGACTTTGAAAACAAATGTACAATACAAAAAAAGTAATGACTATATAAAAAACTTAAAAATGACAACATGTTAAAACTTATTTTGTTTTAAAGTTTAAAAATTTCATGTAAATGTTCTAAAGCAAATTAAATTGTTTTCAATGTTCCCTCAGTTTTCATTGTCTGGTTATGAGGTCACAAAAGGCCTATTTGCACAAGTTTTTTTGTATGTGTGTGTGGTACCTGGGATTGAACCCAATGCCTCTAGCATGCTAGGTAAGTGCTCTACCATTGAGTCACACCTCAGATCTTTTTAAATTTTATCTTTGAGACCAGGGTCTTGCTAAGTTGCCTGATTCTCTCTCCTCAGCCTCATGAGTAGCTGGGCTTATAGATATGTGCCACCATGCCCATCTTAAAAGTATGTTTCACTCTTATTGAAGCCTCTATTTTTAACATTAGGTGCACAAGAATGGAGGCATACCTCCTGCTTAGTCAAGTTCTAGAAAGATGTACTCCTTTGTTTTAGCTATTAATACAATTTTATTGCTATTTAGACAAAGAGCAAATATTAAATAATAGTACCCAAATATACACTTAAATATTGGTGTTTCATATCTGTACATTTATACAAATTATTACTTTTTTTTGGTTGAAGAACTGAGACCGATAACCAAATTAGTGGTTCTCAAGCTATGCTGCATCTTGAGTCAAAAGTCATGATGCCAAGACAGAGTGGCCAATTACATTAGAATCTTGGGGTGGGGAGGAGGGAGGCAAATTTATTTCTTGAAGTCCCCCATGTAAAATTTGAAAACAAATGAATTAGGTCATATAACATCAGAGATTAATACATACAAGTTATACTGTTGATTATCTTGCCCTATGCAAAAATAGCTTTTGCTATTTTCTTGTGTATGCTGTTTTTAGTAAAAGGAAGAAATTGATCTCTTGCTAAAGGTAACTGAAAAGTAAGCTGTAAAATCACATAGGTGTAATCACAATTATCAAAAAAATATACAGTGATGCTGGTACACTTTATTTAAGCAACAGCACTAGTTATTATCCTTGGTTACTTATCAAACTCATTCTTAGAACTTGAAAATAGACATCTAAGAGCTCCCCTAACATAGTTGATTCAGAATTACTGGGGAGAACCTGAGCATATGGACTTTAAAAAATGTTTATGATTTTGATGCCTGACCCTCAGTGGGACTCTTTAGACCTATGCTATATAGTATGTCCTTATATATATTAAATTTATAGGGAGACAGATTCTAATTTAGGAGAGAAAAATTAACATAAAAATAATTTATAGCCTATCTAGCAATGGAATGGTTTTTTTAAAAAAATATTTATTTTTTAGCTTCAGGTGGACACAATATCTTTATTTTATTTTTATGTGGTACTGAGGATAGAACCCAGTGCCTCACGCATGCCAGGCGAGCGCGCTACTACTTAAGCCATATCCCCAGCTCAATGGAATGGTTTTAAAGCAGTGAGTACTCCATAGCTGATAGAATAAAGGTAGAGATTGGATTACCACTTGCTGGGAATGCTGATCAGGAGTTTCCAAATTCAGTGTAGGCGAAACACATGAAATTTAAGGTTCCTGCCAATTCTTAAGTTTCTTTAGATAACACTTGCAACAGATCACTTGCAATGCATATCCCTTGCCATGAAAACTTACTTGAACCAGAAACAACAAAACTACTTTGTCTCCAAAACTTATCAGAATTTAGTAGTGCTAATGGAGGATTGCCTGTGATGCCAGTCTTACCCTCCTCCTTTTCCTCCTGGTTTGGGGAAGAGAACTTCTTGTTCCCTGGGAGAGAGAAATAAGGAAACAAGGTCTCTGAACCTTCATTCATCCCTTCCCACAAGAGAAGTGTCTTATCTGACAGGTGATACTGGATAAAGAACTGAGCATGTTGGTCAGTTGGAACCAATTGGTCAAAGAACACATAAGTGGGCTCTGCCCCTACCAAGAAGAGGACTGCAGTTCTCTCTAATCAAGGAATAAAATTAGGGGGCCTCATTAGAGAAAAAGCCAACCTTGTTCTCTTTTTCAGTTTCATGGCTGATAAAGCTGACATTTTGGTCTCCCTCTGACTCTTGTATCTTATTTCTCAGTTTGTTCAAAAGTGAAGAGGGGAATAAGAAAATTACCTGTCAGTGTCCTTAAATGCCACAAGCATCACAATATAGCCATAAATTGTAATTGTCCATGTCTATGATATTTGTGTTCTGAGTAGTATTACATTATTTTTTTTCAAGTCAGTGAACAATTATATTCTAAAGTACAAAGTATTTCTAAAGCACAAAAGAATAAAGCATTAAGTAAAGGCCCCTTTTCCTTGGTGGTATAAACAGTTTCCACTTTATTGGGAATAATCTTAGTCATGATCTGCAGAAGTTGGTCCCGGGCAATTTGAAGACAGGTCTTCTTTATCTGTAATTTATGTGAGGGAATAATAAATTAATACAAATTTTATAGGACACTAGGAAATAATTTCAATATAGCAATGACTTTTGACTTTTGTTTGGTATTTACTCTACTAAACAAATAAGGAAAAGTTAAAAACAACAATAACCCAGATCAACTTGGGCACATGGGGAAGCACTTGGCTCTAGGGATTGAACCAGTACTGGGCATGTTTATCCCCCTATAATGAAAAAAACAAAAGGGGTGGATTTCAACAATCTGAATTTTATGGTTAGGAACAATATTCTACCTAATAATATGTATTTGTTGAAAAATTTAATCTAAATATTTTTCAAATGTGTAGCTAAAGAATAAGTCTTTAAAAATTCATCATCCTTAAGTTATTCTAATTGTTTTTGAAACAAAACACTGAAAAATTCCCTCCTGTACATTCAGTTACTGAAAAGCTAAAATGAATTCTAATAAGGAATCAATTATTTGTATAGTCACTATTTCTTTAAAACACTGGCCTCATATTTCTATTTGAATGGAATAAGAAATTTTCACTGTCTATGGGAAAGGTGACTTTTATTAAAATCAAAGAGCATTCATAGTCAGTATTTTTAAGAAGTATAAAGTATCTTTTTACCTTCATAGGCTGTTCCACACCAAATACAATACAAATGTTCTTCTCTTAAATAATTAGTCAATATTTGTAATTTTTCCAGTACCTAGATATAGACACAAGTACATTAGTAGTTCATATTGAATAGAACCTGTTTTTCTAGGTCTTACATCATGCTCAATTTGCCCCAGGCTATAATATCCGCTATACTTTTTGACAGTTATTAGAGGTGCCACGGGCAGACTTAATATATTTGAAAATGTCCCAGAATACCAGCCACCTGAGATTTTTCACAGCTATGCCAGACACAATAGAGACCACTGATTAGCATTTAGAAAAGTTTTTGACTGACTCTATGATAGTTGGCATCTGTAAAGCCCCCTCCTAGTTTTAACGCATCTACCCCATCCCTGAGTAGATTGGTGAAGGTGGGACTGTCTGCTTTTGTCATAAAAGTTCTCATTAGTAATCTTCCAGCAAAGTAGTCAGAGGCTTTTCTAGAGAATGTTCTCTACAAAATTCTTGTTTTTTCCCTCAGTACTAGGGATTGTTCCAGGGTGCTCTACCACTGAGCTACATCCCCAAACTTTTTTATTTTGAAACAGGACCTCAATAAGTTGCCCATGCTGGCCTTGAACTTGTGATCTTCCTGCCTCAGACTCCTGAGAAGGTAGGATTACAGATGAATGCCACCATGCTGGGATTTATGAAATTCTTACATACAATTAACCAGTGATGTGTATTCTCCTTTTTTGAATACTCTCTACTTCTTTTTGACTATATTTTCTGTTTTGTTTTGTTTACTGGTGGGGGAAAGAGGGACACATTAAATCATTTCCACAACTTAACAGAAACAAGTATAAAAGAATTTACATTTGTAGCAAATTCTTCATCCAAACTGAAGCTGAGGTGAGAGAGCAAATTGAAGCTAAATGGAAAAACCATATGAAATTTTGATGTGGGATTAATAAAACAATCCTGTAGAGCAATAGTTATCAAACAGGGATTATTTTTTCCCTCAGGGAATGTTTAGCAATGCTTGGAGATGTTTTTCATTGTCATAAGGGGATGTGAAATTGGTATGTAAAGGCCAGAGACCCTGATAAACATCTTCCAGTGCGCAGGACAGCTGCCCACAACAAAGAGTTACCCAGCCTGAAGTGTTAACAGTGCTAAGCCTGAGAAGCCCTGCTATCAGGTAAATGGCACCAAACATACAGTTAAATCATCACTCTCATATTCATCTTCATCTTGTTCTTTTTCTTCCTTTTCCTCTTCAGTCTCCTCTTCAGGCCTCAACCAGTACCATGCCTCTCTGGGAACCTGAATATTCTGAAAATGCAAAAATTATTCTCATGAAACACAGCTAAGCATAAGATTACCACAAATATGTTCAGGTCAATATGAATTTGATCTTTCAATAAATATTTACTGACTGCTGTTTTAAGAATATATTACTATAACATGAACTATGGGGATATGGTCTCAAAGTTGCTGCTGACAGTCTAGCAGGAAAGATAATCTATAGGTATAAAATAATACATATAAGATAGGAAATCTTAAGTGTCAGGAAATACATTAAAAAATAAAGTCCTATGGAAACAGCAAAGTAAGAACTGCTACCAGCAATCTAGTTAGATATGTTGGAAATTTTACCAATATTTTTGAGACTTTAAATGAAGTTTTATTTTGATGATATTTGGCTACTAAGATAAAAACAAAGAATTTTTTAAAAAAATCATTCAAATATGAAATAGCATTCCAGCTTCATTTTACTACAGACATATAAGGTACTGAATATGGACTGAAAATAGATAATTTTGGTTAATCAAACATGGAGAAAAGAATCTCCACACATTCTAGTTCTAAGTAATCAAAATTCAAATCAACAAAGAATGCATTGTTTTTGTATCCATTTTTGAATAATCCAAATAACTTGGGTTCCTGCAGTAAATAAGCCATTATTTTATCACAGATCAAGAATGCACGGTGCATGAAAGCTTTAATGGGCAAAAAGCTAGATAAACCAGGCTTGGAGCTCTTTTTTCTTAAGTAAAAATGTGGCAAATCATATGGGGTGCCAAGACACTGTACAAAACTGAAAGCAAGTAACAGTTTACCTTCTGGGTATCCAATTGTTGACAGGCTCTCTGGCTTCTTCTCAGGTCTCCTTCTAGCTTCATTTCATCTTGCTTATTTTTAAGTCGCATTCTAATTGAAAGAAAAATTTGTAAAGTAATGTCTGTGTTCTCTTTTATCATTTTATATTCCCAAGTTCCAGATGACATACCAGGATAAAGAGGATTTGAAACTAAAACCTGCTCAAACACAAAGTTTTTTAAAATATATATATACATTTTTAGCTGCTGATGGACCTTTATGTATTTATACACAGTGCTGAGAATCAAATCCAGGGCCTCACACATGCTAGACAAGTGCTCCACTACTGAGCCACAACCCCAGCCCCCAAATGCAAATTTTACCTAAATTGTTCTGCAGCTTTTTCTTCAGCTTGATTTTTCATGTGAATCTTTCTTCTGTAACTTTCTAATTTTTCCTCTGCTTTCCGTTTTAATAATGCTTCATGACCAATGCCACTTTTTCCTGTACAAACATAAAGTTCTGATGAGGAACTTATTGATTCTTTACTTCGTAACATGACAATTTAAGATTTACGAATTAAATACAATTTTCATTTCAGTATAATCACCCCACCTCATTTCACTGGAATGACAGGAGAAAACACTGGGTTTATATGTTTTATCATCTTCTCAGAGTGTAATATCATATACATTTTTAAAAATTAGGGTAACAGTATAAACTGTCATACTTTCATGTAAATATGATAAATAAGATATATGCATATATTTTTTTATTTTTGAGTTTGATCACAGTATTAGGCAAAACATTTTGTGGCTATATCCATCTCAGAACACTTTTAAGACACTTCAATCAAAAAAAAATGTTGTTGTGTTTTAAGGGTTATGATTTCCCCCACATTTTTATGATTTAAATTTTATTTTTACTCACTAAAATTTACTTCTGTTTCACTAAGCCTTAATTTTACTTATTTTTTTTCTAGAAAACAAAACCTTCTAAAATGTGTATAACTAACATTTTTCTAAGGGTTTCCTGCAGTAAGAACTATAACTGTACCATCACAAGACAGTGTTAAGCAAATATCTGTGGTTGATCTATGCATAAGTTATTATTACTGGTAAATATGCTCAAGAATAATGACATACCTGTTTTGACATTGAGAGGAATTGGTTCAACAATACCATCTCCTAAGAAAAGAGAACAAAACACAAACTACTTTATTCCTTGGAAAGCTAGGAATGGAACCACCATTTGACCCAGCTATTCCCCTTCTCGGACTATACCCAAAAGACCTAAAAACAGCATACTACAGGAACACAGCCACATCAATGTTTATAGCTGCACAATTCACAATAGCTAGAATGTGGAACCAACCTAGATGCCCTTCAGTAGATGAATGGATTAAAAAAATGTGGCATTTATACACAATGGAATATTACTCAGCACTAAAAAACAACAAGATCATGGCATTTGTAGGCAAATGGATGGCATTAGAGCAGATTATGCTAAGTGAAGTTAGCCAATCCCTAAAAAACAAATGCCGAATGTCTTCTCTGATATAAGGGGGGTGACTCAAAATGGGATAGGGAGGAAGAGCATGAGAAGAAGACTACCACTAAATAGGGAAGAGAGGTGGGAGGGAAAAAGAGGGAGAAAGGGAGTTGCACGGAAGATGGAAGGAGAACCTCATTGTTATACAGAATACATGTATGATGTTGTGAGGAGAAAAAGAAAAAAAAGAGTGTCACCTTAGATTGGATAGAGAGAAAGGATGGGAGAGGAGCGGGGGAGAAGGGAGGATAGGAAGGGCAGCAGAATAGAATAGACAATATGATTGACGTATGTACATTCCATGTATGTATTATATGTCAAAATACATTCTGCTGTCATGTATGACTAAAAAAATAAATAAATAAAAGAAAAAAAAAACATTAAAAAACGCAAACTACTTTAGAAATTCTACCTCAAACTTCAAGCCAGTATAGTATACCACTTTACAATGTATCCACTCCATTTCAGTGATTTTCATCACTGAAATCAATACTCTCTATACAATCAATTACCTTCCTTGCCTTTGATTAATAAGGTTGACTCACAGTCTTCTCCCCACCTTTGCTGCTGAGGACTGAGCTCAGGGATGCTTTACCACTGAACTACACTCCCAACCGTTTTTAGTTTATAGTTTGAGACATGCTGTCACTAAGTTTTTGAGGGTATTGCTAAATTGCTAAGGCAGGCTTCAAACATGCAATCCTCCTGCCTCAGTCTCTCAAGTCACTGGGATTGTAGGTGTGCACCACTGCAACCAGCAATTCACAGCCTCTTATGCCACTTTAAGAAACAATAATGCTGATATTATGGTTCAAAACCAATGATGGCCTTAAGAGAAAGCAAAGCCTTGCAACTGAAAAGCAATTAAAATAAAGTAGGAAAGAAAAGAAAAACAGCATAAGGAAGCTACTCTAAATATAAAGCCTCTGCATCTTAATAATCAGTTTCTCTTCCTAAAAAGTGATAATAGAGCTTCTCCAACTGAATGGGCACTCAGCTGCCACAGGTAGAGACTTGCCATCCTCTCCCATTCTTTTCATAGTCCTTTGGCCACTGCACTTCTCAACCCTTCTTTGCTACCTCTGCTGTAAGCCACCCCCACTCCAGCTGTTAGTGCCTTCATGATTGCACTGCACTGATAAGCAGCTTGTGATGGCATGTGTATTATTGAAAACGGAAGATAAAAGTTCTTTATAGGGACTGTTAGCACATAAGAGACTAAGAAGCTAAAGTTGTTTTAAATTTTTTTTTTGTAGATGGATAAAAATTAAAGTGTTATCTCTTTTCCTCATAAATACATCATAATTGGGTGGGTAGGAATACCTATTTCTGAATGTGACTTACCACTCCTTCCAAGAGCCTGACCACTTTTATATCCCATTTTTTGGAGCAAAGCAAACCCTTTGTTTTCAGAGCCTAGTGCATTCTTCAATCCAATGTCACGTCTTTCTTGTTCTTCTTCCTTTAAACTCTTCTGCCTATTTTTCAAATTAGCTTCTTGTTGCTTTTCTTCTTTTCGACGGGCTTCCCGGATTTGCCTCAGCATGGGCAATCCTGGTCTGACATCTTCTCTGAACAATAAAGGAAATGATTATTTTAGATGATGTTTTCTCATAACTTTGCCATTTACTTACCTGACACTAGTTAATATTTAGGTATTTCAGTGTGGCCTCTATGATCATCTTTGTTATCACTGGCAATTAGAACATAATCAGTGATGTCCAAGAAGAGTGATTTTAGTAGAAATGATGAAGGCTGGTTACGTATGGTAGGAAACTAAAGAAAGTATGGAGTTTAAGAACTTATTAATAGTAAACATGACTTTTCCTAGGAGGTCAGCAATAATAAAGAACAAGGCCAAATAGAAGCCAGAAGAGACAATAAGATGCAATAAAGGAAAAGGAGTACATTTCCTTACAAGAGGGCAACCCAAGTATCTAGGGAAGAAATAAAATGGTTAGCATTAAAAGGGAGGAAGGAATACTAATACCTTTGTGTGAGATGTTTCCATAAAGCAGTAAGAATAACTTTCCAACCATACATTTAAAATCAGACTGCTTCACAGTCTACACGTTTCATGGCATTCGGTGTGCACATTTACTTACTGGACATTAATGAAGGAATCAGACATATAGTCCTCTTCTTCTGCCATGTTCAACTTCATATGGTAATAGTATCTAAAAATCAAACAAAGTAAATATATATATATATTTGGTTTACCAAATGGGAATACACCTTTATGTATCCCCAGCGGTGAGCTTTCTCCAGAACTCTGCTACATATCTGATGCTTTTTGGACAGCCTTATTTGTGGCATTCTCTAACTCAATAGTCCAAACAACTCATCTTTCTCCTAAGACCTCACAACATGCCCTATGTTTCCATATTGTCACCCCTATCTCCCTCCATAATATTTCTCGTAGACATTTTTTTCTCTACAGTTGTGATCACATTAGTTCAAATTTTTCCTCACCTGAATGATTTTATAATAGCTTCCTAATTGGTTTTATTTCCTTTGGCCTCATCTACACAGTCTAAAGAATGTTTGTTTCTTTTTCCCTTTTAAATACAAGCCAGGTCAGGTTACTTGCTTCAAATCCTTCAACGAACTTGACCATACAAGCAATGGAAGACCAATCACATTAGCAAAGCATGGGGTCATTCTTCATATACTGACTTATTACCCTCCTTAAAGATTTTTTATTCAAGCCACATGGGCTTTTCACTGCATATAGGCACAGACATCCTTTCCACCTAGGTCAAGGCTATCTTCCTTCATAAAAACCTGTCTTGACTATTCCAGGCCACTCTCTATAAGCACTATTTTAGGGGAAGTTGCTCATCCAGATACATTAATACCTTGTTTATACGGAAATATTTTGGGGGAAGAGTTTCCAACCAAAGTAGTTTACATCATGTAATTATTAGCCCTTAAAGTGCTTCTCAAACTTTGTGTGTATGTGTTTGTATGTGTGCATGAATTGCCCCAGGATCTTCTTAAAATGCAGAATCTGATTTGGGGACTGGAACCTAAGATTCCGCATATCTAGTAGGTTCCCAAGCAATGTCAATGCTGCTCCTAGATACAAAAGTGTAGTCACTTGTTGCAGGGCACATATGCTTATTTTTTCCTATCATCCTTTTTGCTAATAACCCACTCTTCTGCTGTCCAAGTGGTTCTAGAGGAAGGTGGCAATGTTAGCACCCTATACTCATTCCCTTGTGCACAAAGATGACCAATTATAGTACCCTATGTCCCAGAAAGAGAGGAGGGATAACAACCAGGGAAAATAAGTATTTCTTTCCTTGTATGATATGAATATATGCATTGTAGAGAATTAAGTTGTTTTCATTGGGCTTTCTGAATTGGGAGTATATGAAGCTAGACCGTGAATGGCCATCTTCTTGGCCACATAAAGAGGACTGTCTGCAGAATGAAGCCAGATAGAGAAAATGGGCAAAGATAAGCCTAAAAGCAATAAGTCTCCAATTCTAGTTCCTAAGGTCCTCATTTTCTGATGCTATAACGTGGCATCCTTCCCAGCTACATGGACTAACAACTTTCTGTATTATTTAAGTTTGCCTGCGTTGGGATTATGTCAACTGCAACCAAGAGTCTGGGCAATTACACTGGATGGAAAAACTATCACTGTCCTGGCTCTGAATACTTTTAACATTTATCTTTCCAACTAGGCTGGGAAACGCAAGAAGTCCCTTATGTCCTCACTACCTACCACTGTGTCCTAAACATCATAAATTCTTAATAAAATTTTAGCTATAACAAGCACAAAAAAGTCTTTAATATTTGTGATTTTCTAATAATAGAATACTTTTTTCCCAAGGTCAACACATCTTTTAAAAATGTTTTAATAAACATATCATAAATACAGAAAACTACATAAACAAATGTATTATAAGGCAAACACTCTTATAACCATGTGGTATCTCCCAAGATGGTCCCTTGTGATTCTTGCCTCTTGGGCTTTCAACATCTCCTCCCACAGTGGACGGGATTAACCTGGGTAACCAATAAGATTTTATGGAAATGATGGAGTGTGACTTTTTGGTCATAGTAAACACTACAACTTTTAGCTAGATGATTTATTTGAAGGAAGTTAGCTGTCACATAATGAGGACATTCAGGAAGCTCTATGGAGTAGTCCACATGGGAGGAACCAAGTTTTCCTGTCAATAGCACAAACCTGTGAGCCACATTAGTGAGCTACTTTGGAAATGGATCCTTTGGTTCCAGTCAAGCCTTCAGATGACTCAGATTGGGTTGGCACTTTGAGGACTGCTTCTTAAGAAAGTCCAAGCTAAGCTAAGCTGCTAACAAATTTCTAACCCACAGAAACAGATACAACAAATGACTATAGTTATTTTTAAGCTGTTGAATTTCAGGATCATTTGTTATACTGCAAAAGATAATACAAATCATCATCACATAAGGAAACAGAACTTTATAAGTCAGCCACTTTGGAGCCCACTTTTTCCCCAACCAAAATGTACCCCTTGTTCAATGAGAGGAACAGTTACTATTGTACCTTGTATGGGAATCTTTATAGATTCATTTTCCACATGTAAATCATATAGTATTATATTTTTAAAACTTTAAGTTAAACATGTGTATGATTGTATATAGCATTTGTGATAATTCAGCCTCTGTCTCTAAGCCTCAGGTTCCTCATGTGTATTTTTACAAATAATTATCAGTATTTACCCAATAAAGTAGAAATAAAGTTCCCATTTTCTAGTTGGAGAAATTAAAGCTCAATATGGCTAAATGACTTATTTACAACCACAAAGAATTCAGGTCTCAGTGCTTTTGCTACTGAAGACAGGATTAGATGATGGTGGTGGAGGAGGAGGAGCTGGGGATTGAGCCCATGCTAGGCAAGTGCTCTACCACTGAGCTACATCCCGTATCCAGAATCAGATTATTTTTAACAAACCCATTTGGTTATAAAGTGCAAGGCAGGGCTGAATAGAGGATGCGGATTCCTTAAAAGTCTCCTTTCTATCTGTACAATATACTTTAACATTACTCACTCCCATCAAACATAAGCATAAACTTCACAAGGCCATAATCCTGGCAGAGAAGACGGTGGCTTGGACCATCGCTTGGAGTGATAACAGTGGAAGGGGTCGAATTCTGGATATATTTGAATGTAGAGCGTACAGGATTTGTTGATGAATTGGAGGTGGTGTGGAAAGAACGATTTAAGATTTATGCCAGTTTTCGCCTGAATACCTGCAAGAATAGAGTTAACATTTTTTGAGTGGGAAGGCTGTAAGCGCAGATTTGTTTCTCGTTTAAAAAAAAATTTTTTTTTTCTCAGACAGGGTGGATAGTTGACAGCAAGAGTGTTGTTTCATACAAACTGAGGATCCCACTATACAGCCAAGGGAGAGATGGTCTAAATAGGGATGTGTAGAAGGAGAACAAGAAACCCCTCGTTTCTACACACGCCCCTCAGGAATGCTTGGTCCCTTCTCTCCTGCATTCCTCCCGGCCGAAGCGTGCCACAGCCGCGACCACCTGCGGGTGGGAACTTGGCTCACCTTCGGATGGGTAGTCCTAGCTAGCGCGCATCGCCCTCTACCATCCCCTCAGACCTCCGCCGATCCTTACCTGGTACCTCTATTTTGCCCGGCCCCAGGAGAGCCCGCGCTGCGCATGCGCCCACCAGCTAGCGCAGGACGTGCGGGACTCCGCCTTCACCTGTTTCCTAGGCCGACTGAATTGGAAACCCGCCGTAGGAGGGGCTAGGAGGAAGTGGCGAATGCGCAGGAACAGTGTCTCGCGCACGCGCCCTCCCCTCGCTTCCTGCCGGCAAGAGAGAGGGAGGCGGGGCATCCGGGTCCCTTGGCGACTGCTTCAGCCCCGGGAGCTCAGCTGATCCGGCCTTTGCCAGACTTGGAGGTGAGGCCGTACCCATCGCCGCCAAAGCATGCACGTTGACACGCACACACACCCCTTTGCCCCCAAACGTTTTCAGAGGAGTGGAGAGGAAATTCCCGTTCGTAGTGAACGTTTTCTCTTCTGGCCCGGGCTCGGTTCAGAGCCACCGCCTCGAGGGGTTGACAGCTCCAGGAACCCTGCGACGCGCGGGGTTGACAGCTTGAGGAGGCCTGGAACGTCGTCTTGCATTTTCCCCAGGCCCGGCGCTGCGCTGCGCTCCTCCAAGCAGCCGGGTGAACCCAGACCCCAAGCGCACGAGGCCTCTGCCGGCTGCATTCACGGGCCGCCGGTGTTGTCACGGACGCTCGGGCCGCGGGGATCTACCTCCCCGTGCCCGCCCTACTCTCGTAGGAAGCTTGGGAAGCATGCTGTTTGGGGTCTTTTTGCTGGAACAGGTGCTGCGGGAAGGGGTGAAGGCGCTGTACAACGAGCTGTGGACAGGAAAAAAGGCTTGGTAGAGTAGTAAGGCTGGCCGCAGTGCTTGATACTGGTGATTTCGTTTTCTTATAGAATGGGCTAGTATCTGGGTTCTTCTGGAGTAATGCCTTTTTTGCAATGTTTAATTTTTCTTTCACTCCCCCCCCCTTTATTCATTCTTCCTCACTAAGCACCGTTTTTTAATTTTGTTCGTACCTTTGTCCTTTCAAAGTTGGTTCTCTGGTTGTGCTGTCAAAGAAGTTATGTTTTTCCCCAATAGAAATAAGAAATAAAGCCATACTTTTCCAGTGGTTGCATTCATTAAGCTTGATTTTTAACATTAAAAAAATCCTTACATGCATTTTTAATCTGTTAATTTAAGGTGTGAATTACAAACTTCAGTAATGGAGTTAGCCCACAGTTTATTGCTAAACGAAGAAGCTTTGGCTCAAATCACTGAAGCAAAGAGACCAGTTTTTATCTTTGAATGGCTGCGATTTCTTGATAAAGTCTTGGTTGCTGCTAACAAGGTATGATATTGCTTTATTTCCAATTGGATTAACATGTAGGGGCTAAAAAGCAAATCATTTTGGAAAGGTTGTAGGTCACTTAGGGAACTCAAGAATGTAACACTAATGGGAATTTTTTGTCTGTCCTTTTTCTGTTTTGTGGCAAACTTCAGCTCATCGCTCACTTCATTTCTCTATCTAGTCAGCTAAGTGTGATTGGAGAAAAACATAGCTATGTGATTAGTATCACTTTAAAGTCATCATCAGCAACTGCTAGTAAGTTTCAGCACTATTGGTAATCCCAGTATCTTTACTTTTCTCTCTGAGAAGTTGATAATAGGCTTTTATTTTTTCTGGTTTTCTCTTCCTACTACATAGTCTCTTTGATTCAAGTTTATTGTTTGTATGTTTTATTTTCTTTGTTTAAAATTAGGTGCTTTTATCAGATGGTGATGATCTTCCATTGTCTGCTTAAATTTTAGAATGAGCTGTGAAAAGTCTTCTGGTAAGGGTGAATTTTGTTAACTGGATTTCGTTTTAGGCTAGTCTGCTTCCTGTCCTTAGTATCTCAGGTTTCTCCAGGCTGGTCATTCCCCCAGAAGACTTACTTTAATGACTGGGAATTTATGGGTGGTTATCTAGGCTGTAGGAACTAGGGAAGAAGACTGAAGACTTCAGCATTTGGTATGTAAACTTTTACTCAATTTCTCTATTTTTGGTGCAGTTAACTCAGCCCTTAACTGTGCCTAGCCTCCTCTACTCCAGAGATACAATACCTTACTCTTTCCAGAGAATAAGCCTCTGGTCTTTTTCTAGAATGGGAAAGAGAAATAAAATCTTATAGTTTCTTAAAAAAACTCAACCATTCCCTCCATTTCCAAATGCATCTTGACTACTGCTTCAGAAGCACCTAGGGCTTTGGGTGCTCTGTGTAGATTGTGTAAATTTCTGTGTGTATAAACTGTGTGAATTTCTTCTCAACTTTCCCTATTGGGAAGACTTGGCTTCTAAATTTTGTGTTGATTCTTGATTCTTTTCCTGTTTTCTTTGCTCTTTTGGATTTGTGCAGCTTTTTTTTTTTTTTTTGGTTGCCCATTAGTCTGAGTTTAATGGAGTTTCTAGAGAGGCAGTTAATATGTGGATTTACTTGCAATCTTCAACTAGAAATTTCTGTTTTCTCTTAAACTTCATGCAACTAGATATTTGTTTTCTTCCCTCTCACAGCTATCGTGGATCTCACATTATCCAAAACAATGGTCTGTATTCTATTTTATTTGATCCATCTTCACCTTTTGATATAGGTGATACTCTACCCTGAAACACGTAAAACATTTTTTTATTTTGTGGCCAAGTTGACATATTCAAGAGTATATAAAACATATCTAAATTACGAAATATAATAATAGGAATATCTGTGAACCTTCCACTCAAATTTAAAAATACCCTGTTTTACTTAGCATACTTTGTGTTCAGTTCTTCCTACTAGTGGCCTCCCAAAACACCATTTTCTTTTAGTTCCCTCCTACTTCAAAAGCTTCTGATTCTCTTTTGTTGGCTTTTCTTCAGTCCTTGGCATTCTTTTTTTTTTTTCCTATGTTTACTTACTTTTTCCGTGTTAGCATCTAATCTTAAAATTTCTACTGCTGTCTCTATAAGGACTCTCACATATCCAACTGCCTACTGTACTTCATTTGTGTTTAAAAAAATCTCAAATTTAACATATCTGAGCCAGATTCTTTATTTACCTTCCCAAATGTGCCCTTTCCCCAGTGTTCTCCACATCAGGAAATGACCATTTTATTTTCTGCTTGCTTAGGCCAAATACTTCAGAGTTATTCTTTCTTTCTTTCTTTTCTTAAACTTCACATCATATTCAGCAGCAAATCTCATGGGTTTTATCCACAAATATACCCAGAATTCATTTATTTCTCATCATTTACCTCTTAAATTATCTCTTATCTGATTATTGCAGCAGCTTCTTAATTGCTTACCATACATATACTGTATTAGAGTATTCTCAGTTCACCAGTCAGAGTGAGCCTGTGAAAACATTTAGATTATGACCCTCCTCTGCTTACAACCCTCACTCAGAATAAGATACAACATTCTTACAGTGGTGAATGTTATACTACACAATACGATCCCTGCTGACTTCATTTCCTCCTACTTTTTCTAACTCCGCTCCAGCTACACTGGCCTTCTTGCTGTCCTCAGGTATACTAAGCATGCTCCACCCTCAAAGCCTTTGCACTTTTGTTCCCTCTGCCTGCAGTGTTCTTCCCCAGAAACTGGCATAGCTCACTCCTTCAGGTTTCAGAGTTCTTTTCTAACTAATATATATATAAAACAGCACTTATACCATTCATTTGTTTATTCAATAAACTCTGTCCCTCCCCAGTAAAATGTGAACTTCACAAGGACAGGGACTTTGTATTGTCCACTGTTGCACCCCAGTGCCTAGGATAGTGCATGGCATGCAGTAAGTGCACAGTTTTTTAAATACATGAATTGATTCTAAGTATTGATTACGAGTAGGTATGGGTTTTATGTTCTGTTGCCTAGGTGTCTTCAGAGATTTTTTGGTTTCCTTTACTGAGCTATAACTATTTGGATTCTAAGACATCAATTGTCCATATATCCAGTATTTTGCATCCTTTGTTGATTTATTTCTTAATAAATTGGCCTGGAAACTTTTTGGATTAGAGCTGTTACTTTTATTGGAGGCTAACTTTTTGGCATTGAAGGGAAATGAAGAAGATTTAATATAAGAAAGAATGGATCATTTTTTACTGAACTTTTCCCTATCTTAAAAGTTTTCACTTATGATTTATGTTTAATACAGATTTTAGAGTGCCTTAAGTGTTAAGTATTTTGAATCTTAATTAAAAATAATGATCGGTATAAGAACAAATGATAATGTTCTTTTGGATTTTTTTTTAATAACAGACTGATGTAAAGGAAAAACAGAAAAAACTTGTTGAACAGTTAACTGGATTGATAAGTAGTTCACCTGGACCACCTACAAGGAAATTATTAGCTAAAAATCTTGCAGCCCTTTATAGCATTGGGGATACTTTTACAGTTTTTCAAACACTTGATAAATGTAATGACATTATCAGAAATAAAGATGACACTGCAGCCTACTTACCAACAAAATTGTAAGTACTAACTTGACAGGGACTCTTCAACTTTTGTGTCTTATTTCAAGGTAACTTAGTAAGAGATGATTCACCATAGAGACTCCCAGTGGGTGGAACTTTATAGACATGCTGCTGACAATGAAAGTGCTAAGTAGATCTGGGGAAGAAGCTCTCCTTCCACATATCCATCCATGGGAGGGAAAATGCCACCCAAGTAAGAGTAGTAACAGTGTGGGGAACAGCATTGTCAAGGAAAGCTTCTCAAAGAACCATACTTGAGGAATGGGGTTAAGATGGGAAGAGGAAAGGTGGATGTGATAGACTCAAGGTCAGCATGTTTTCTGGAAAAGGCCAGATAGTAATTATTTTCAGCATGTGCAATATACATCTCTGTAACAACTGCTCCCTTCTGTCATAGTATGTACATGTATGAATATGACTATCTTTCCATAAAATCTTATTTACAAAAACAGGTGGCAGTCTGTTTGGTGGACAGATTTGGCCACTGGTTGTAGTTTACCAACACATTTTGTAGGTAAAGGGAACTTCTAATTGGAAAAAAAGATGAGGAGGAAGGGGAAAATAATGAGTTCAGTTTGGGGCATGCCAGTTTTATAGCACAAGTGGTGATAACCAAGTAACAGTTTATAGTAAGCAGTTGAAATCCTGGTCTCATATCATAGATCTGAGTTGAGA